ATCGAGAATCATGGCAACGGCTTTCTTTCACAAAATTCACTAATTTAGGCAAAAAAAAATGTTCTTAGAAGCAAGTGAATAGGATTAGGCTAAATGACACATCACGTCAGACACATCAGGATCGAGAAAAAAATCAAGACCGAGAAGAAGTGGTGATAAAAGACATGCCACCCTACAAATTAGGTTGGCATGAACTTACTTTGGCTCGAAGGTGAAACCACTGCGTTAACACCCAACTGTAATTTGAGCTCGGCTTTAACATCAACGCCGTCCTCACACAACAAAGGGACACCGAATAAGTCGGAACCCATTTTGCTGATGATCTCACAGCCACCAAAACTAGTTGTGGCTTCTGGGGCGGGCGTCGTCTCTACTTCTGGACATCCGTAACTAGTGGTAAATGCCTCCTCAGGTGAAAGACAGGTGGACAATTCCTTTAGACATCTCTGACTGTTGGCGGGGGTATCTAACGGATGTCGAAGGAGGACTTCACTGCGGACTTTGCGCCGCTAAAAGATCGAAGGACCGACTAATCACTTGGCGCCAGAAATGGAAGTGGATTTGCGTAAACAATGTCCATGTTTGAGAAATGCAAGTCTTTGGTGCTTAATGGGTGTACAGGTACATGAGAGTTGAACCAACAAACCGCTAAGTGTTCAAGTACCCGAAGATTTCTGGAAATTAACTTTTGTGGACTTAATTACAAATTGGATCAGGTGAATATATGTGTTGCTTCGAGGAAAAACTACTCGTTTCGGTAAAAGTCACACTACATATTTTGATTCTATTGCCCTTTAATTGGGGAGTAAATGTTCCAAGATGAGAAAAGGGTAGAATAACGATGACCTTACATTTGAATGCGCATAGTTATTTATTTTGCAAAATAAAAAAATTAAAACCCTCAAACAAGCCCCAAGTTTAAAAAAGAGAGGGAAGTAAAGCAATGACCACTGTGATATGGTGAATCTTTATATGAATTGATTTGAAAAATCCCAAGAATTGCCTGGTGGGCTTTTCCATGGACGTAAACACTTGCCAAATAGAAAAGGAAGTCCATTCGAGCTGGTTAACAGACAATTCAATTGACAGACAACCCCATACTCCTTTGTGAGCAAATTTACTCCAAATTAGGGCAAAATATATCACTAATACAGACTAAATCAGCGTGAAAACCATCACCCACGTTATAAATGCTTCGGGTCCCCAAAAAACAAATTGATGGAGCACTGTTAGAAGAACCACGGCGAATCGACGAACTGCATCGAGGCACGTTAAAATCTGAAGCCACTTGGTTAACGTGCCGCAGAAATATTTCGCGAAAAGCATCGTCGTCGGATTCATCCACAGTTTTGGAAGTACTTGAAGAACCCTGAGACTGTTTAGAAGTTGCCTCCACCTCAGGAGTTAACACCTGGCACTTGTCAGTACGGTGAATGTGGGGCTGAAAGACTGTAAAAAGGGGCGTGTCAGCATACGGGCTGGTAATTAATAAATATCAAGTAATTCCAACACCTACTATGAGCTTGATTTCGACCCAATTTATCTTCCGATAACGAGGAGTTAACGCGTAAACATGTTTTGCTGAGAGAGATTGCTAGTGTCGCATCACATGGCGTCAAAGCATTTTCAGGACTTGTAAAGGATTGATTCAATGTAGGCGATCGCCTGATGCTGTGTAGAATGAGGGAATTCTAAATCATTTAGAGCAACTATGTAGCATACCGCTGCAGCTTCTGGTCTTGAAAACTCATTAAAGTCTGTTCTAGCATTGATTGTTGATGTCTCTGGGTGCGGATGTAAAGTAATGGGATTTACATTCCCACAAGAAACCCCGGTATGGACATTAAAATCTGCAAAAGAAGACTCAAAATAACAGAACAAAGGGTGATTCGGCCTGAGCAGGGCTTACCGGCAATGCGAAGACTTGCCAAACCAAGTTGCCGACACTGCTCTTCTACATCAACCACAGGCGAGCAAATGTCATGTGATGCAGAAATTTGGTGTACATCCAACGACAAATCACTGTCATGGCCGGTAAGGGTAATTCTATCACCAAACCGATTACAATAATGACACTGCCAACCTTTCAGTATCCTCAAGCAGCTTGTACGACTTATTATTTCTGACAACAGGGTCAATCTTATCAAACTCTTTGTGCAAATGATATGTCCAGTAAAGGATACAGGAAACGATGAGCGTTACAACACAGGAGTAAGAGGCCCAAGCGACAAGCGAAGTTGGGCTAAGCTAAGAAGGTTATTTCGTTTAGAGTGGCCTACCACGGTAATCACAACAGGAAGTGTAAAGAAGAAAAGCCAAAGTAACAAATGAACTACCCAGATGAAATGGCCAAGTGACTGGTCAAAGTACAAGCCCCCGCTAAGTGACGCCAAAACCCCCTCTTTGAAAATTCGTCCGACCATGCACATACTATCGCAAGACTACTAGTGGTTTAAATAAATACACAGCAAAATCTGGCGCAGAAAAGGTAAATACTTGATAAACCTCTATCAGCATTTTGCAGACGAGGTCAAAAAGCCGCCAGGACCTGGGTTCAGGTAGCACAACTCATTGAAAGATTTCTCTCAAACAGGGCCATTTTTCACTATTTTTGAAGATCCTTAACATGATTAGGCTTCAGTTTTGATATTATTAATAAAATCTAGTATTCGATTTAATTCGTCGTCTTATTCCCATTAAACAGGTTTTTCTTATTTCTCGCAGGACTAAAGATTCCACAACAGAGGTAATCTAGTAAAAATCACTCTTTTGTTTAATATAAACATTTTTAGACTCTAATTAAGACTAAACCGATGTTTATAAGCCAAACTGCCAAAATACTGCTAATGCTAACATATTTTAACAGCTGCCACCAAGCATTTAATTTGTGTTTGTTTATTTTTGGCATGTATTTATTCTTGTCAATGCTCTGGTTTGGTCTCCATAGTGGATTTCGTATCATGAAATTTATTTATATAGCCATTTATTGTATTATTTGTCTATTTACGAGATTAACCATTTACAAAATCTGTTATCACTTTAGACATTCTACAAAGATAGGCATAAGGTGATAGTATTCTACCAATATTGTACTATCAAGTCGTTTCATAATTATTTAAGAACATAGACATTCTGTAGACTGTAAAAGTAGCAGTTTTTATAAAATAGTAATTTAACATTCCCAAAACTTATGTCTTCTTTTGAAGATTGGAAAGGAGGTGGGTAATTTGAGGTAGTCAATATTTACTGCAAAGCTCTATCTTAAACAATGCATGAAGCACTCATAGAAAAGGACGTTCAAATAGCTCTCACTCGTTCGAAGAAAAACCTCAAGCAATCTCAGTCTCAGTTCTGTTAGTTCCAAAAATAGACTCACACTCGCTCGTTTACACATTTACATCAACCTCGTAGGTATTAATTTCTAAGTAAATCAGTAAAAAATTATTCATGTTAAGGCGGCAAGATTCTATTCCATGCACCCGGTCTTATGGATCACAAATTACACAGACATTGTTTGACATCCCCGACAATGTATGCCTCATGTTTCAGAGGCCGATGGTTCATGGTTTGTTGTAGGCACCACCGTCTTATTCCAGACGTTTTCGATTTATGGTCCTAAAGCGACGTCTATATTTGATGCCTAACGACTCAACGCTAATCACAGCAATTAATGAAAATCTGGTTTAAACAACTCGGCGCGAATCATGTTTCGGCATTCACGTTTCTTTGATGCAAAAGGGTGATAATGGACACCATTATGCAAAAATATAAGCAAATAAGTTCCACTTCTTCTAATAACACAAGCTTGATTGCAGGTAATGCGACAATTAATTCATTTTGCTTACATTCGAAACTCCATCAAAGAGGCTTAATCACAAGTGTTCTAAGTTGAAGATCGAACCAAATTCCTGCCACAATAGTGGTGTCTGTGATCATTTCAAAAACGAAAAGTTTTATAGCTCCGCTTCACACTTCCAGTTGTTTAGACTTCAACTGTGACCTCTCTTGTCCCGCGGATACCACTCTGAAAATATACATATTTCTATTGCGACAAGTGTGAATTTATCATGGAGTTAACATCAAGCTCCACCATTCAGAATATACCCGTAAAGCCTAATATTCACCAATGGCTTATTTTCGGCATCGGAACGACGATGCCTTTTGAAGAAAATTTCATTTTGCCTTACAACACACCGGGTAGTCAGGACTTACAGTGGACTGGTGGTTTGCACCGCTCTCCATGCCGTTTATAAGAGCTGACACAAGAAAAGACAGAGCGATTTGCCCCAACTTGGTGCAACGTAGTTGCGGCACCTTACTCCTCACTTGTCATGCTCGACCAAAGAACCATACTTTCAGAGAGATAAATTAACATTACTGCTAAAATGGCTTAAGTGGTTTTATTGAAAACAGATTGATCTTGAATCCCGTTTCGAAAGCCCCTTCAACTTACTCAACAGGATGGATAAGTGCAATCACTGAATACAAAGTTTACCTGAGCGGTTTCTGTTGTGGAAACGATTTAAATAAACTCAAGACGACTAAATAATTCGAGATGAATTTAGTGGTATGGACAATAGTTCGTATGAAAAGAAACACGCAAACAACCGCACCAAACTTCAAATAGAATTCCACTACCAACCTCAAGCTGTACTGTACGAAACTGAAAAATTCGTAAAGGTGCATGCGCACCGAATGCGATGTCGGTCTCACAGTTAAAAATGCTTTATTTCTGCATTACTGTCGTAATTGCCACTGTGGTCACAAAACTATGGATGATGGGTGCGTCATTTGAATCCATTGGAATTTCAAGGTTAACTCTAGAATGTGGGAAAATGTTACAAGATCTGAAAGTAGTTGCGAATACTGATCGAGAATAGTAGTGATTATAAAACAAAGCCTGCCCATTTAGAAAAAACCAATTCAAAACGTGTACAGAGGAGTTGCAGTTTTATTTTAGGTACACATGTGTTCACCGAAACACACTGTCCTGCTCACCATCAGTAGTTTTCGGTTTTCATGTCGGTGAGACCCAATTCTTCATCCTGTTCTCGACTTCGTTGATACTCTTCTACCTCCAGGCGTGGATCAGGTACTCCTTCACTTAGGCTCTAAAACAAAAATCATACTTGCACAAAACCAAAGTATTGGGGCTCTTGGGGGCGCCAAGCACCTAGTTCACATTTTTTACAACCAAAATGGACGCCCAATCCCACCAAGTTATTCCTGTTCGACTCATCTGATTTGAACCATCACATTGTGAGGAAGATCGAAGTCATTGGGGCCATTGTTATTACGCAGAAGTAGTTTAGTAAGATAAAGCGAAATAACCGTTTGGACAGTCAATGATTACAAAAAGAATTTATGTCTTTGAATTAGAATTGGTCGATTTCAGTTTCTGATTTATTTAACCCAGATCAAAACGAGACAGTGATAGGATGACACCGTGTAAGCCCACATACAAAGCCCACAAATAGGAGGAAATACACAAGGAAATGACCATTTCTAGCATTGAAATCGTATAAAAAAGAAAAGCTTTTGCGTGCAATAACTGCAAAAACTGATGAACTGGTAAGAGGTAAAACAGGAAAGCAGGCGTTGATCAAGTGCGTCGCTAATTTATAAATCTCGAATAACACTAAATATGGCAATATAGCTAACGGACGAGTCTGGCCATAACGAGGTGATGGCTGCAGAAATACCAGTGTGTATTACACCCTTACGATTAGACTGACCATTCGATGTGTAGGCAGCGTCGACAATTCAACGTGCATCAACATCATAAAATCCGTCTTCCATGAAACACAAAATACACAACAGCATCTGGCAATCTACATACCCCGGGACATTTCTCCAATGCATGAATCAAAGTGCTCAACCAGTAAGTAACCGCGCACTATGTGTTGACAACCTCGAAATTGGGATTTCGGCTCCTCAGAGACCACTGAACCATCGACCTGAGCTTATTTTTTCAACAGAAATTGTAGACGATCAGAATACGCCAATAGCGAAAAGCAAGTATGAGATGGGTTAAATCATGCTACGAAAGAAGCCGGAAACCCCAGATGTGGAAGCGATTGATAGCACCTAATATTTACATCACCAATGAAAAACAGTTTCAAGTTTACATGACATTGGAATGCGATGACATTCCACTGGTGCAAATACTTCACTCAGGCTAGGGGAAGAATGCGCATCGCAGCGACCCAGTATTCTCAGTTTTGGAATCTAAGGTATAACAAGACGTTAAAGGATATCGTGAACACTCTGGGTTAGCGGATTCCCTTCTCTTCGTATTTATGTGTGAGACCTTGACATGAGCGACGTGAAGTTCATGTATCTGAGGGATGTTCTCAGAAAAATGGGTCTTTCCTGAAACTAACATCAATATTTTAAGTCATCGTAAAATCGGCATGAAGGCCGATAATCTCTTCAATGCGCCTTGAGTCGGCCATCAATAAACGCGGTTGGTCTCTCGGACGATTCTTTCGAAATCGTGTAATGACCGGGGATTTCTGGGGTCGGAACTCCCAAAAAAAACGATACAAGCGAGTACGCTGTTGAGTTATGCTCTACGCGACCAATTGATCCTCGATAACTTAGTCCTCCTTGCGTTTCCTTCAGGTATCGAATAGAAATTTTTTATTGTCACTCCAAAAATGTGAGTCGAACAGTATTTATGCGTGAATCTCGAAAAAAAAATAGGATTGCGTGACATTGCTGAACCAAAAGCAAAACGAAATCACTTAATGGTGAGAATTTGCACTTAAGAACACACGCGTGAGTCAAAGGCAGCGAAAGCAAATACACCAAGTACTAGGTTTACGTCGTTACAAGCATATCAAACACGGTTTTAAATTTGACTATAATTAATCAGCATAAGATGTCTGGGCTTGGCAGAACCAAACAATCAAAGGCACTGACTTGAAGGTAGCTGTTGCCGGTGGGATCGTTCAACACTAGGTGAACATCCTTCCGCGACAAGGCGAGGACCTACAAATCAAAGGGGCAAATGGCAAGCAACTTGAGTGCCCGTTCAGAAGTCCACATAACGAATGAGAACTAATGAGCATTGAGACTAGTCAGTAAACTAGAATTAACAAAGAATTATTTACTAGCAACGGCTCTGTTTGAAAGGGGAATGTGCCGGAAATTTTAACCGGAACAAATCTTGCAACGAGCTTTTGAACTTACAACGCACAACATCCTTGGCAATGAGACACACTTTCACGGTTTACTGTAAGTGCCAAAAAACATAAGAAACAGATATCCGGGATCACCACATGTTTAGAATAATGGAACAAAGCTAGCCCACATTTGCAGGGCTCTTTTATGCCTTCTGTGTGAAGATACTAATGTCGTCAACGAACACCAATGGCTAGCATACCTCGTCTAATCGAGTATTCGGAATAGAAAACCGTGATCAGAGGGGATGCAGATGGTAACACCTTAATGTTTGCAACCAAATTGGAATTGGACTTTCGTCACATCAAAAATCAAGGGGTCACGACTTGCCTCGTCAATCCCATCGCAAGCCAATGCAAGAGACCTCGTTTTTTCCTCCTTTGAGGCGCTATCACCAAAGAGCAATGGATTCAGCGACTTCAACTGTAAACAAAAGCCATAGCTAGTAAAGGACGAGAGGAAATAAGGAAAGCCCGTTAGACCTGACTTGCCTCATCCTTCATTAGGACGAGAAGCCCCTCAACCGTCGTAAAACGACCCCCCAGAGTGCCTGGAAGAGTGTCAATTTGCAGCTCGGGTATCGAGACGCTAGCTGTGTCTGACTTGAGGATGTCACGAGATAAATCACTCTTGTCTGCGATGAGCAGCCGGAATCGCTTCCCCTTCTCGCGAATACCCGCAAATGACTTGACTTCATTGCTGCGATAACCACAAAGGTCACAAGTTATGGCCATTATTATTACCTCTTGGAAGTACGGAATGTCTAAAAAAACAAAAGAAACCATGTATTCTCGACTAAAAGCCGTAGCACTAACAATATTTGTACATGGTTTTCGAAAACAACGAGTAGGTGGTGGGTGCGTAGATGTGGCCTCGTAATCTTGCTGCGGCTCCTGACTGTAGTGGCGGCCATCTGGTTATAAGACAGGGGGCGCCAAAGAAGTGGTTTCATACTAATGCCTCTCCTTCAGACCATTCCATTCACAAATAACCCGATAGACGTATACAACTAATGGTCTAATGGGCCCCATAGATTGTGACTGCATTTACATGTTTACATGTTTTCGAGTAGGCTCTATTCATTGATTATTCTATTCCAGTGATAATATAGAGCCGAACCCAGTAAGCTGGATTTAAATGTTCAAAGTTGTCCATAAGAAGTTGTCAGCTGTTTCGACGAGACAAGCACAGAGCTTGTTTTGGCGTCCAAAGCAATGTGATCACGTCAGTAGGTGTGCGAGAATGTGGGTGTTAAGGAGAGACTTTAAGGGAAATTAGTTAATGACAAGGGAAACTACAACCTAAAAATCAGCATTAGCAGGAAACTGGTCTGTGACTCAGCCTACCACAGAGGCAGATTTTCGGGCCAGACTTTGACGAGCAAAAGCAAACAATTTTGCCTACTCACTGTAACACAGCATTACGTGCATAATCGATAGGATTGAAACCTGCCTGAACAAAATGACCACCAAAATTAGGACAATGAAGAGGAGGAAGGGATGGGTGCGTTCTTACCTACGTCGATGAACAATAAGTTTAAATTTTATCCGACCACAATGGAGAGGACCTTTTATCCTTTCGTGTGTCAGTCACTAATAGCGGTAGTAAATGGGTGGTGGGGCATCATTGGGAAGTACATGCTGTGTGGTTTAGCCAATAAACTGAACACGTTTCACATGGCCGCCGATTCCGTGGAAAAGATTCCATAGAAGATTTGTGTGACAAATCTCGAAAGAAAAACGTATACTGGCAATATCCCTAATGCTTACTGTCTAATAGCCGGCAGATGGGTTGGGTTTATTTATAAAAATTTAGCGGCAAAATAAAGTGAATTTTAAGGTCGGCGCCGGTATGATAAAGTAGAAAAATACATTTTACAGCGACGATGCTGTACCATTTTTCAATGTTCAAGCAGGTCTTACCAACGATCTTCATGTTTGTGGGGCAATCGTGACGACAATTGGGACATAAGCCTTGGAATGTCGAGACGGAATCTTTCACGTTTTCTTCCTAAAATAGCCACCATGAAAACGTCTCACTAAGATCGACGAATAATACAGGATATTAGGGTAATGACACTACACCTCAGAATCGACCGTCTTGTCTTCAGGAGCGTCATCTGATGCAAGACCAAGCAGTTTATTTTGAGCAGTAGTCCGAGTGTATTCCACACATGTAATTTGGGGATCGTCAAGTGGTGCGTGAAGGTTTTCAATATATCCGTTTCCTGATGGGTCGTTCAATTCCTAGACAGAAACGACACCTCTGAAATCCTGAAGGTAAATTTGGAGTGGAAAATGGGTCACCGAAACGTACCAAAACAAAGGGAGTTTTTACTTTTAGAAGGTCACGAAGCTTTTCAATAAATGCATCGATGAGTTCAGCTTGCTTCGGATCAGTTTTCTGTAAACAAATTGAAAGTTTTGGAGAAGGATACTTGGGTAAACTAAATAGTGTAGAAGCAAACTGACCCTTCGCTCTGGTTGAAGAAGCTGAAGCTTGTCAATGATACCGGTGATGACGCCCTCGACTGTTGTCAAAACTAAATAGGAAAATCCGCAACACACATTAAGACCACATGGCATGGCAAAAATCAGGTCATTGTATTTAACAAAAGCCTAGCTAAATATCAAAACAGAAAAATTAGATTAAAGTCCACAACCTTTAGTGTGGACGTAAATTTTTGAAAATTTATGCGAATAATGGGCATTTTAAAAAGGGCTTCTAATAAAATCCGCTGCAAGTGTATTTAATGTACAAAACACATGATCCATTCAGCAGATAAATGCAACCAAAATGATGGAACATTAACAGAAACATTCACAGCTAATTTGACTTCCGTCGAATGGAGGCAGGTAGTAAAGACCTGTGCTGTGTAAAAATGTGTTCCACAAGATCACGTCGTCAATAGGAATTGCGAAATGGTTTTAAATTACCGAATCATGACCGCGAAACATCGGGTTAGAATTAGGATGAAATGTAAACCCCGATCCGAGCGTCTGTAATTTGGGAGCAATGACCAGCACAGTAAATTCCGACTTATTTGGCAAAAAAAACTGAGGGCAGGGCTCAAGGGATAAAAGATGATTGAACTGACCAGACTCGCTGCTTGGAAATGATGAATCAAGAGAGGGAATACGTATTTCCGAATGGCTGGGTTGAATAATACGACGGTTTAAGTCTCTGGCACACCGAACATCCAAAGTGAACGCTTTTCCTTTGTCTTGTACTGGTGCAGCTGGGTCTACTGACCGGTTTGCGAAGCCACAAAAACCACACTCAAACGAGGAAATAACGACATCCCGAAAAAATGGGATTCGCGTGATGAGCAGCTGCGTTGTACCCTGAAAAATCGTTAATATTCGAAAAAACTAGGTGACACAGGCAAAACACTTCAAATTCAGTCTAAAATTAGAGGTGTGAAAGGCATACCATGTTGGCCTTTCTATGACGACCCGTTTACAGATATAGCAACATGAAATTCTATATAGCAAATTATAAGCCGAGGTTTCTTCTGAATTTTTTAGGTGGTTTAGTAACAACGATTTTCTCAATACACGGCACCTGTGAATTCAAACACTATAACCCAAAGTACGATACAACATAGAAGTTCAAAAATCTTTCCAAAAATGCTGACTGGCACTAAGGATTTTGACTAC